GGTCGAACGGATAAAGGTTTTGGCAAATTTCAGAAATATTTCTTTTCTTTAGGCTTCCCTCTATTAATTATACCTAAAAAATTAAAAATAAAAATAAAATTAATTTTATTGTTAACAAAATGGCGTCCAAAAAACAAAAAATTTGGGAAAAAATTTTGTTTTCTGGACGCCATTTTGTTAATTTTATTTCTATTTTTAATTTTTTAGGTATAATCAATAGAGGGAAGCCTAAGGAGAAGAAATATTCCTGAAATTTGCCAAAACCTTTATCCGTTCGACCGGAATCGTGGTAAAACCGTGGATTCGACAGTTTTCTTTATTATATTGGGACGCCGTTATTATTAATCTGGGAATGGCTTTTAATGAATTTTCTCATTTTATAATGTTACTAGCTTTTCGGCCCGCGCTTCGCGCGGGCCTCAAAGCTATTCCCCCGCTGACTCACTATATTATTAACTCTCATACAATTTTTTATTTGTTTAATTTATAAAACTTCTTTGTATACGATATTTTTTGTATAAGATTCTGGATTTTCTTCAATGAGATGTCCTTGATTGCTTGTTTCATCAATCTTAATTTTGACATTTTCCTTTTTGGTTGCTCTAGAAAATGCCACATAAAGTTGACCATGAGCAAATACAGGATGTGGCAGATAAATCCCAACTTTTTGTAAAGTTTGTCCTTGAGATTTATTTATTGTCATAGCAAATGATACTAGAATAGGAAACTGTCTCCGTTTAAGCTTGAATGGAACTTCCGAGTCATTTGTAATGAAATCGATTTTTGGGATGAAGACAATCTGGCCTCGAGCAGGACCAGTTAGAACCTCCGCATAAATAAGATTATGTTTCAAATCTGTAACAATAAATCTTGTGCCATTGCAAAGTCCTTTCTTAGTATTTAAATTTCTTAATAAGATAATTGTAACACTGACTTTTATTTTAAGTCGATGAACTGGCATTCCAGAAGGTGTCATAGAATTTAAAAACTCAGTCGGATAATTCAATTGCTCTTGTGGATCATCACTTACAATAGAGTCAATTGATAGATATTCCTTTTCTTCTCCTTCCATTAAACGAAGGATTTCGTCATTAATTTTGAAAGTATCTTCATTTTTAGGACAAAGAATCGCTCGATCTGGATTTTCTCTAATCTGTTCCATGGTGATTCTATCACCAAAAATCTCAGTAATAATAGATTCTTTTGATATAAAATCCTGGGGGATTTCAATTGTATCAAGATGTAATCCATCTGTACTTGACAATTTACCATCTCCTAATTGCATTAGCTAATTTGCAAATTCCTTTTCATCCGCAGTTCTCATATTTTGCTGTAATTTAACCTGAGTTACATTTCTCCATATAGGATTGTATTTGACAGTTGACTCAATTATGGCTGCTTTATGTGCATGAGGTACTACTGGGAGATTTTGTCTGAAATCTCCTGCAAATAAAATAACTTTTCCTCCAAATGGTCTAGGATTCTTCATTAGATCCTTGAAGAGTTTATCAACTGCTGTTAAGGCATGCCCAACCGTCATGCTCACCTCATCCCATATAATGAGTTTAGCAGAGATCAGTTCTCGTGCAGCTTGAGAGTTTCCTCTTATATTAGATTTAGCTCCATCATCAATTGGTATTGAAAGTTTGAACAGGGAATGATAAGTTTTTCCTCCTTTTAGAAGTGTGGCTGCAATGCCAGTTGAAGCACATGGAATAACCATTTCGTTTTTTCCTCGAATAACACTCAGAAATGTGTTAAATAGATAGGTTTTTCCACTTCCTGCAAACCCGTCAATATAAAATAACCGCTGAGGTTCATTCTCATTGTCAATCGCTCGCATAACTATATCGTACACGTATCTTTGTTCAACATTTAATGTTGATAATAAATAGTCACCACGTCTTCTTTCTTCATCTACATTATATTCTGTGACGTAAATATTCACTGGAATTGGATTTGGCAATTGGAAGTTCTCACAGCTACTTCCATTATTTTTCAGAATTTCTTGTATATGGTTTAAAGCCATATTTTCAGGATTGACAACATTGTTGTGTACAAAGTCCTCAATCATGTGATCTTTATATTTATTCCAAAGAGTTAGTACATCTGTTGGAGTTCCATAGATGCAAATGTAGGCAAATAGCTCTCGAAGTTGTACGGGCATTTTGGAATCTGTTGCTTCTTCCAGCGTTTTTTCCCAAAGATCATCAGCTTCTACCAAATTTTTTGCAATTGCTGCATCCTTAAACGTTTTATAAAGAACTCCATTTACAGTTCTCAAATCTTCAAAACATTTAGCTCCAACTACATGAAGTAGAAGAAGACGGAGATAAAATCTCTCAATATCTTTTATACTTACTGTATAAAGTCTTGAAATTATTTTATCTCTATCTCTCTATCTCTCTTAACCTCATTCTCTCTCTCTCTCTCTCTCTCTCTCTCTCTTTCTCTCTTTCTCTTGCTCTCTCTTTCTCTAAAAAAATTAAAGAAATTAGTTTCTAAAAGGTTGTTAACAAAAAACTATACACTTTATGG